TGTGTACAGGAAGATGTTCAGAACTTAGTTTTAAAACCATCCTTCTAAATGCCTAGGGACCAGGGGTAGTTCTAGGTCCTCTACTGTGGCAATGGAAATACAGTTGGCTCTGGGATGAGGCATGGCTGTCTAGGTAGAGACTGGGCTCACAAAGATTCAAGTAACCCAGCCCTGTCCTTTCTGCACTGCTAGATTATTCCCCAGGAAACAGGGAGGCCTGAGGCTTGCAAAGATCTTCCTCTCCCAAGAATATGAATGGTATGGGGAAAATTTGCCATCTAAAATTTTCTAGAGAAGAAAATTTTCTCTCATATGTAGTTACTTCAGAGAGCAAAATCCAAATTGGCTCTGTGGATCCAAAGGAGGAGGAGATGGAGGGCAAGGCACTGGGGTCAAGGTGCCTTCTGAGAACCAACCAGGTACCCTAGGAAGACAAATCATCAGGGTCAGGCAGGCCATTGTGGCTCCTTTCAGAAAGGCAAGATACTCCTACACACACACACACTCTCACTCTCTCTCTCTCTCTCTCTCTCTCTCTCTCTCTCTCTCTCCAGTGTCCAAATGTCCACCAGAGCCTTTTCAGGAAACCTGATTTCAGATGCTTGCACCAAGATTGCTCCTCTGACCAGCAGTGCCCCATTCCTGCTTCTTCCTAGACAACAGTATACAGTGATAATGGAAGCGGATATGCGCCAGGCTGTTTCATACTTACTCCTCACAGCAATACATGTTACCATTTTTATTTTACATGTAAGGAGACTGAGGCTCGGAGCAGCTAAATAACCTAATAATCAAGGTTGTACAATTACAGTACTTACGTGTCCAGGGAGTGGAATGAGTCTGACTCTAAGGTCCATGATTTTAAAACTACAACAGCTGTTTTCAAACTGTGTTCAGAGGGTGCCATGGGGCAGGAGCCCAGTGGTCAGGGTTTCTGGTTTCCACACATATTGGCTAAAATAGCCACATGTATGTCTGTTTTGTATATTGGCATTTCCTGAGTTGAAAATGTTTGAAAAGAACCACATTATGCTCTGTTGCCTGCTCCTATCTTGAACTTTCAGAGAATCAAGAAAGCCTTCTTACTCTACTTAGCTGTCTTAAATGCGAAAAGACTGTGTGGCGCACCAGTTTCCTGACTCGTTCACCAGGTTAAGATTTCCTTAACCTGGTTACATCATTTCTTTCTTTCCAATTCTTCACCCTGTTCACAGGGTCTCCCCATCCTCCCATCCCTGTTATGTGTGAAAGGCAAGGCAAGCAGGCAGGTTTCTGCAAGCTAGGTCCCCTTCCCCTCAGAACCCCCACAAAACCTGCCCCACCTACCCACTGAGTCAGGAGCCAGGAATGTCTGTGGGGGCAGCAGACAGGTATGTCACCCTGGGGGTGGCAGAGGCCCATTCATCCCTCATCTCCGCCCAATCTTCTTACTGCTCTCCGGGAAATTTAACTCTTTGTCTAGAGATAACAGAGGGAAATCTGACTCTGAAGAGCATGGAGTTTTCAATCTCTGGTAGGTACAGTATTTCATACCTCAGATCATCGAATTCAGTATTTGTTAGAAGGAAAGAAGGAAGACAACTTCAGAATAAAGTTACCCTGAAATTTCCTGGTCTGTAGAGGGGGCTGGTTTTTAGCTCAGAGTAGATTAGGTGACCACTGGTATGACTTACAAATTGCAAGAAATCTTACCCATGTCCCAAGATTCTGCAAAGCAAAGTGGAGGCTTCCAGGATTAATATACAGGCAGAGGTGCCCACTCACTGTGAAGGGGAGTACTGCACACATTTCTGTATTTGCACAGCAAGGACACTGCTTTAGACTTGTTTATCTGGGTCCTACCATCTCCCTCCTCCAAAGCTGCTTCAGGGTTTTGGGTAGGGAGAAAGAATTATTTTGCTAGGTATTATAGCCTATAGCATCTTACTAATATTCGTATTTTTTCACCCCAGTTGGGCTCCAAATCCCCAGCCCATCCCCTCTCAGCCCCCCTACCTCCACCTCAGGCTGTCACCTGAGTTCTGGGGCTGAGAATTGGCTCCCTGGCTGGAAACAAGGCATCCATTCGGCTTTCCTCTGCCCTCAGCACACCAGATGCTGTGAGTGCACGTATCTGGGGCTCTTCCCTCTAACGGGGGCAGGAAGAGGAAGTGGGCAGCGCAGACCAGGCTGGGCAAGGGCTCCACAGCCAGAGTTGCAAGAGAAGAGCAACAGGACAGGAGCTACTCGGTTTGCCGGACAGCTTCCCTCCAGGATTCTGGGGCAGTTGGGCCTCCCCACCGCTTTCAGAACCAAGGTGGGCCTCTGTAGTGCCGGGATGCTACTCATCCCTCTGAAGTTATTCCCCTCCCTCTCAGAAGCCTCGAGAAAGGACAGGGAAGCTCTAAAATTGACCTTCCACAAACACTAATGGGGTCAGGCTCCCTCTTCTCAGCCCACTGTGGGAGAACATTTCACAGAAACAGCTGAGGGCAGATGGGCTGTGCTTCCGCTGTGGGCTTCAGGGCGCTGCTCTCACCCCTCTGCCCCTTGGCCGGGTCTGGAAGCCTTTCCTGTTAGATGTGGTCCCTGTTAAATTCCAAATGCTATCTTCCAATTGTTAGGGGTCCCAGGAGAACCAGGAAATGCCCATACACTAATGTCAATGGTTAGCAGACATGACCAAGAAATCCCTTCTAAGGCACTCAGGAGCTGGTTTCCTCCCCTGAGAAACTGCTCACACAATGGCACTTGTGAGGTCTGGAGGTGACAAGGGGTCTTTCAGACAGTGTCTGTGAGAAGCGGCACTTTTCTGGAAAGCATTTTGACAAAATGAATCCTGGAAAACACTGGCTATTCCATTTCTAGGATTTTGGTGTAAGTTAAAATTTTGTCAGAGACTCAGAGATTTGGGTTCAAAGATGATAATCCCAGAACTACTTAAAATAGCAAAATATTGGCAATGACTTATTAAACATTATAGCCATACCACAGAATATTATCATGCAGACACCAAAAAAATCTTTATCATTATATGAAATAGTGCTAACTGAAAAAAGGTTACAATTATAACATATGCCACCTATAAATGTTACAGTGATCACTCTGCATGTATAGGAAAATAACACTGAAAGAAACAAAACATATAATTTGAATAGAAAATTTATCATGGATTATAAATATTTTTATCACTAAAGTGTTATGGGATGATGGGTAACTTACTTTCTTTTTCCAAGTTTTTACTTTTCTATCAGGAAAGAAAAAAAAAGGAAATCTTAAGGATGGTTGCTGTATGCCAGCCATTGCAGGACAGCCTCTTACGCTAAACCCCCTCACTGAACAGACCTCACCTGGTACCTGATGGCTCTTATTTTTTGCAATGACGCTGTCCCTTCCCTGTCATGGCAGAGTAACAGAAAATCATTTCGCCATCAGTGTGGGTGGTGATAAGAACTACATTTACTGGAGAAGAAAATACCCTTGCTGTCACACTGAGGCCTGAAAATAAAGTTTTGGATTATTTCCATCCTTCTCCACTTTATGACTGCAGAGAATAAATGCTGAGGGCACTTGGATACGAGGCCCTGAAATCCTCAATGGTACCTTCCTTCCAACTGACTTGCCTTGGTGAGAGCCAGGGCCTCTGGATGGGGTAAGCATCAAAACCCACAGCCACAGCTATTGGTACTATTTTCAAACACATAGCACCCACCCGTATGCCCTGATGAGGGATTTGTCTAGCAACGTGGGCGTCAGGATTCCTGGGCTCCAGGCCTCACAGATGACTCACAGCCAGCCCCAGACTGTGCCTCCTGGCCTCAGTTTCCCTGGCTTGCTCTGCTGATACTCCCCACCTACTGTACAGAGTGTTAATACGGGTGATGTCCTTTGAACTCCTCAGATGAAAGAGGCTGGGGAAGCAGCACCCAGTTATTACCCCCTCTGTGGCAGGCGTGGGAGCAGAGGCTGGCCGCTTTCATACTGTTCCAGCCACAGGAGCTCCTCACAGCCTCCCTCTCCCGCTTCTGCTCTGGCTGCCAGAACTGGAAAGCAAAGCTTGGTCACCCCCATCTCCAAGCCACTTCAGAATAGATTTTCCACAACTGAATTCAACTGCCTAAACCACCTGTTATACATCTTTTCCTTAATTTACAATTCAGTAATGTGATAGGTGTCTAAATTCTTTCTCCTGACTGGCTCCAAATCCCGGGGAGAAGGGCTATGACTTTTTGCCATCAAGTATTCACAATTGAGAAGTCATCAAAATGAATTCTGAGAAAGCCAAACTTATCTTTTGTTTACTCCCTGTAGTTCCCCATCTTGTCTTTATCTCTAGGAGTTGCTGTGCGACACAGGACCATGTGTGTGGAAGCACTTTGTAAAATGCCAAGCCCTCCGCATGTGTTAACAGAACTGAGTGTCTGCAAATAAGACTTCTGGCAAAAAAAAAAAAAAGACTTTTGGCATAGCTGCCAAGTCCCCTTGTGCCTCCCAGCTACACAACTGCAAAAAAAATAAGCCTGGGATGCCACCTATCGGCTGAAATTGTAAATTGCAGCCAAACATTTGCAAGAGCAAAGGAAGCAAACATCAGTATTTCCAACTTCAAGCTATCTTAATTTTTGCCATACCTCTCGTGATGTCATATATTTAATATTTTCCTTTAAAAAACTTTGTATAAATATTTTTATTTCAAAGTAAACTTTTAATCACAACTATAAATGGAAAACCAGTTAACACTTGCTAAAAAAAGAACAGAACTGTGAACTACAATGAAAATAAAAGGTTACTAAGATCTGCTAGGCAGTGTGGAAGCAGCTCCAGCTCCAGGTGCACTGTTAAAACTGCAGAATAACAAAATCACACACTTGGAGAGTGAGTGTCAGTCCTCCAGTATGATCCTGTGCTTTGGGGGAAACACGGCCCTGCATAAACAAACAGGACTCTTCTGAGTAAAGGTGATCTTCCCTTGTTCTCCCCTTGGTCAGGCTGGTCGAAGAAAGTTTGGAAGCCACAAAAAGTAGAAAATAAACTCTTGTATTGTAGCACATTCCATCACAGTCCGAGGGGCCAGGGCTGAATTCCTGGCAGCAGTAACCAGAGCTCATGAGCACCGAGGGTGCAACGGGTGCTCTGCTCCATGTCATGTCTGGGTTTTGGTCAGAGGTCCTCTGCAGGGCTGAATGGCCCTCACCAGTCAGAGCTGGGAGGACTGCTGCTGGATCTGTAGCCTGCTGAGTTGTCCACCACTCACTGGGAGTTGCCACTTCCCCGGGTGCTGGGTTAGGTGTCCCGTTCTCCAGAGGCCAGCTTGTTGCTATAGGTGCATGGCTTCCTGCTCCACTGACTGGTCTGAGGCTGCCAAGTACTTCTCCTGGATGCCCAGGGTGCTGAGGGAGGGCATGTCAAGGCTGACAGCACAGGCAAGATGGGGAACTAGTCTGGGCAGGATCTGATCTCTACTAATGCCTACCCTCCAATCACGTCTGTCATATTCCTCCCCTTCTCCCTTCCCCATAGTTATAGCTTCAGGCAACAGGGCCCAATTGGGTCTGAAAAGCCCTCAAAGCACCCAGACCCAAATGCTCCCAGCTGCCTCTTCCCCACACTGCTAAGCATGAAAGGACAAGAGAGCACCACCCCTCCAGCTCCATGTAATGGCACGTGCTCTGCAGCCAGACCACAGAGGTTTAAATCCTGACTTGGCCACTCTCTTCTTCTCATCTGTACAGTCACTGTGAGGATCAAAGCAGACAGTGGGTGCTCAGTAAATGTTTGTGACTTTTCTTCTGCCAAGAGATGGAAGTCAACAAGAGCTTAAAGAAAACAACAAATTTCTGCTTGGGCCACAGGGCACCTTCTTCCTCTCTCTGGGACACCAGGCACAAGTCAGTTTCACAAAGGAAAAGACTGTAACGCTGCTGGTGGAGCCCTGGGAGGCTGACTTGGCCTGAGGTCTGGGTCTGGGGTCTGACTAGGAGGGCATTTGGCCATGACTAGGCTGGCCACCATGGCTATTCTGCTAGATGACTCCAGTACCCCCAACTGAGGTTATACATCCAGGGAGGGGGACCTTGCCTGTCACTCTCATAACCCCAACTGCCTCATCTATAAAAGGGTTTGAGTGAGGACTAAAGGAGACCCGGCAAGTGGAGCTTGCAACCCACTGAATGATGGTCAGGTTATACACGTTTCTATACCATCTCCTCGGGGTTCAGGTACTTCTCCTGGATATTCAGAGTGCCGAGGGAGGGCAGAATCTAAAATCAGCACAAACATGTATGGTTAAAAAACCCTTGAACATTTCCTAAATCATTTATTAAACACAGTATGCATGGTTTTATGACTAGACTCCTGGGTGATAATATGTATGAATTCATAGGTAATACACAGTGGGTAGGACAGGGCAGCGCTACTGAAGCTGCCCCCGCCTTTTGCTCAGTTGAATTTACCACCATTATTACCTGCACATGCAAGGCAGCTCCTCAGCCCCTTCAGCAGGCATTCTACACTCTACCATCTGTAACTTGTCTGTTTCCCTGTCAGTTTTGCTTCCCACCTATGAAAGGGCCTGACCCAAATCAGTAAGTGTTGGCGGGAATCATTTTTCTCCCTACCCAAGGACTCTGGAGCCCGTCTCCAGCATCCTGTGTAGGTGCTGAATCTCTGAAACTAGCCGAGACTGCCTGGACTTCCCTGTCCTTCCTCACACATGGCCTCTGTGACCTGAGGGGCAGCCACACGTGACCTTGGGACCACCCCCCACTGCTCACTAACCCAGCTCCAGTCCTGAAGGTCTAGCTGCCTCCCAGCAGCTCTGGTTGTCCCAAGCCCTTCAAACACAGCACACCTGCCAGCTCCCCTGTCTTCCACCCACGTCATAAAGCGGCCCTCTCCTATTCCTGCTTCCACCTCAGGGACTAAGCACGACCACCCATGCCACTCACAGGAACCGGGAGTCTAATCTGCTCTGCCTCCATCTACCCCATAAGCATCTAGTCTGGGAGTCTATCTCCTAATAGTCTTCCAATCTTTCTGGGAGTCTATCTCTTAATAGTTTTCCAATCTTTCTATTCTAAGAGCTCTATCTCATTTCATCTAGATTATATAAACTCACTTGCCCCAAATCACATTCCTTAAATGCATTTTCTACACTTGAGGGGCTTTTAAAAAATGTGTGTCTGATCACGGCCACCCTGCTCAAAAACACTTTGCCGGTTCCCACCACCCACCCCTGAGCAGAAGCCACACTCCTCAGCAGGGCATTCAAGCCCTCTATCGCCCGCCCTGCCTACCTCCTGGGCACCCGTGCAGCACCCAGGCAGACCGAGCCCCCTGCATCTCTCCTGAATGACGAATGCCCTTTCGCTCCTGGGCTCTGTATTTGTTGCTCCTTCTGATCATTATCTGCTCCTGTCCTCAGATACAGCCAACCCTGAAGCCTTCACAGGAAATCAGCCATCTGTGAGGGAGATGGGGCCCTTTCTGAGCCCCGTGTCTCCCCATCTTGGCTGTGGCCAAGAGGCTAGAGAGCAAGGATACGAGGAGAAACAGAAGTCAGCCCCCACCGCGGCAGACATCATGGCCTCCAAGCTTCGCTGCTCTTGGACCCCAAAGCAGTAGCCATTGGCTTTATCCACAGCCTGCAGGACCCGCTGGACACTCTCCTTATCCTGGGCAGAGAGGAGAGAAACAGTTATGTGGGTGAAATCAGTGGGTGGGGAATTAAAGGTGTACCAAACTGCTCGCAGTCTCTAAACACCCACCTCGTACCTCATTCTCGCCTCATGAAGCGTCTGGACATGCAGCTTCCTTGGCCTGGAGCTGTGCTACATGTTCCAGAGGCCTGGCTCATCCCATCTTTATTAACCACCAACCCAAACAAATGAGAACAGGTAAGCTCTTCTACACACACCTACAATCCCCTGGGTTTATCCCTACTGAAGCTCGGATCCTACCACCTATTAATAATTTAACTCATCTCCTCCCCTACTTGACTGTGCACCCTGACGTCAGGCATTCGTTTGTAGGGGTGTCCCCAGTGCCTGGCACAGTACTTAGCTTACAGTAGGCACCCAATAAATACGGATATTATCTATTTTCTCATCCACATAAAAGTGATAAGAACAGTCAATACAACACACTACGGGAAGGAAAGATCAAAATAACCCACCCACAGTCCTCAGCACAATGCCTAGCACAGAAAGCCTTCAATAAGCAGTAGCTGTTATGATTAATACTGTTGGGTTCATCTCCTTATTTTAGAGGAGAAAAGTGTGGCATTAAACAGGGAAGAGACAAGTATGCTCAAGTCCACCCATAGCAGAAAGGAATCTAACATGCACGTGTGTCTCCAGGTTATCTTTGCAGGGTGCAAGGTGAGAGGTGCAGGGGTTGGGTACTACTCTGCAAAGTTAACAGGCAGTTGCCCAACTTGAAGGAGTCTGAGAGACTTGTCCCTGACCTTGGTCAAGTCCTTGATGGTAGCTTTCTGAAGTCATCAATTTGCACACTGAGGAGGGAACATATGCAGAAAGGCCCCAGCAATACGGAATAGTTAACAGCCAAAGTTTGGTCCATGCTCTTTATGGAATCCTGCCCACCAGAATCATTGGTCCCAAAACCAAGGGGACCAAAGACCCAGGACAAAGATGACTGTTTGAGCCCTCAAAACCTCCTGTACCCTCGGCTTAGTGAGGTTTCAAGCACTGTCAGAGCCTACAGCCAAGGGAAGAGGCCTCTCAGTCCCCATACCTGGATGTTGAGAGGGATGAAGGAGACCAGGCTATAATCTTCGATGAGCTGCACCAGCTTCTCATTGAGCTGACGATAGTGACGGAAGAAAGGGTCAGAAGCCAAGTGGTCAAGCAGGTAGGAAAGGTCCAGGACCTCTGTGTAATAGTCCAGGTTGAAGGCTAAGGAAAGAAACAGGCATTCAGGAGCTAAGCAGAGAATCTGGCATCAAGCTAAAACACCTGGGGACAAGGATCATATTTCCTTTCTTCCTTTGCCTTCACTCACTCACTCATTCATTCAACAAATATTTGTTGAGGCAGTGAAATAATGTTACTAATAAGAAAATACCTGTTTCACCTATTAACTCTGCCATTTACTAGCTATATGGGCAGGTCTCTACCTCATGGGGCTGCTGTGAGGATTAAATGCTATAAATCCCAGTGCCTGGGCCTCTATTTTTTGCTCCTTGGCAATAAAGGTAATAAATGATGGCATTGAACTTGTACCAAGGACAGTGTGGTCCCTTTCTCATGAAGTACACAGTCAGGCAGTGCCCCCAGGACCAACACACTGCAAGGACTCTGTGGTGAAGCTTCTTGGGTTAATCACTTTTCCTTGCAGGGCCAGTCCCTTGTTTAAGTAAAATCAAGGGACCAGGCTAGTTGACTTGGAGGTCTCTGGCTCAGTTCTGTGAATACAAAGTTCCCCCAAAGAGAAGGAATCGGGTTTCCTGCACTGTCCACTTCTGCCTGGAAAACTCACAGTTGGGCTACTCAGCAGGCACGTCCCAAAGTGAGCCAAGGGAAGCAGGCTGTCAGAGATCGGTCAACCCACTCCCTGTACTCCACCTCCTAACAGAAACTGATGCCCCTGTGCCTCTAAGGCAGACTGTCCTGGGCATTCCAACAAACTTGGATTGCCTGACAAGTACATTTCTCACCAAGAATTAAGAACTATGAAAGAAGCCAGGTACACTTGGGTTTAGATTTCATCTCAGCTACCACACTAGCTGTGTGACTGACCTTCGGCTATTCATGCAATATCTCTGGGCCTCAATTACCTCATCTGGTTTGCATATCAGTCTCTTGTGAGGATGACTGGTAACAGAATTAGAAAGATTAAGGTCCCACTATGTGGCCACCTAGGCTGGTGATTATGAAGGGGGAGAGGGACTTGGGAAGAAGCAAATCTGGGGAGAGATAAAATGGGGCTTCTGGGCTTGCCAAGAGATGGACCCTCCAAGCTACTGACTTCCTTCCGTGTCCTGACTGGCAGCCAGTCGGCCTCCTCAGACAAGGCCCTAGCATATCACTCTCCCAGCAACCTCCTTTCCTGCTCACTGCTGGTCATTTCAGTTGGTCTTCTCTAGGCTTTTTGTGGCTGGAAATGCTATTTAGGGAACTGATGCCCCCAGCTCAGCAGAGCACGAATTTTTCAGGAAAGAAATACTGGCCATTAGGCCCCTAGGAAACTCCCCTGCTTCATACCAGCCTGTTTCTCCCTCAGTCTCTGCCACCTTGACAAATGGCACCTCCATCCATCCATTGGCTCAGTCAGAAACCCGAGGGTACCCTTAATCACTCTGTCTCCATGTCCAATCCACCAACAAATCCTAGTCCCTGAGTAAGTTTAGAATCTATCTGCTTCTATTTCCATTGCCACTGCTTGGGCTGCTGCAACCTCTTAAGGATCTCTCTTTTCATTCTTGCCCCTTTCAATTAATTTTCTACAAAGCAGCCAGAATGATCTTTCTAATTAGTGCTATTCCCTTGTTTAATATTCATCAATGGCTTTCCTCTGTGTTTCAACAGTACAACTTCTAACTCCTGCCCACCTCTCTGACTTTATTTCCTACTACTTTTCCCCTGACCCTACTTCATCTACCCTGGTTTCCTTCCACTTTCCCTTGAACACAAAAAGCTCTTTCCCTAAGGGTGTCCACCCTATTGGTCTCTCCGCCTAGAATAGTTCTGCCTGGGTAGCTCTTCTCACCTTCTAGATCTCAGCTCAGATGGCACTGCTCATTCCCTTCATTCCCAGTCACTCACTGTCCCATCACTTTGTTTTAATTCTGTCTTAATACATATCACCATCTATAGCTCTCTCGTCTTCCAAACCCAGAACAACATCAGGCACAGAGTGGTACAAAATAAATAGGCAGGAGTCAGGACCTGCCTGTGGCTTCGATCACCCATGTTATGGTCCCTGGAGGCAGCTGCCTCATCTGAGATGTCTGTTTCACTCTGGCCCAGCCACTGCCCTATACCTGGCCTGCCCAGAACAGAAGCTCTTACCCAGCTTCCCATAGTGCTCAATGAGGTCCATTTTGGAGAGGAGGTTGACATGGGGCAGCTCCACGTGCAGCATGGTGGCCAGGGAGGTACACAGTACTGAAATGAACTTGGCTGGGTCTGTGCAGTAGTGGGAATCCACCAGGTGGACAGCAGTCAGCTGCAAGGGGAGGAAAAGACAGGGTGAGAGTGGCCTGGGGAGGCAGAGAACATCAGAGCCTGTGTCTCCCCCATCAAACTGGGGACTCCTGAGGTCAGAGGGCAATATTCACCCATTAATTTCTTCCTGCTTCTGCTTCATTCTAATAGCTACACTCACTTCCTTCTGCTAGGAGATATGGGGCATTTTTTCTAACAAGGTACCACCTTGCACTAGAGCCTTCCAGCAGGCAACTGGTTCAATTTCCACATCTGATTCTACTTTTTAACTTACTTTTGCCTACCATGCCACTTTCTGCTTAATCTCTTCCATACTTCCAGTAATCCAAGTTGGGCACTAACATCCAAACATGAGAAAACTGAGGTTCGGAGACATAAACTGACTTACCCGGGACCACACAGCGAGACAGTGGCAGAGCCAGAATTCGAACTCACACCTGTTTTACTCCAAAGCCACTTGGACCCTGCCTTGCTGTGTGACATGGGGGCGTGGCATGTCCTCATCCCTGTGTCAGTTCCTGCATAACCAAATTGGTCTGCTGGACCTAAGACGCACCCTGAGGTCCCACTGTGCCATCTGGGAGAAGATGCTGCGCAGGGCGCCATGATGCGTGCACAGCTCCACCTGGCCTGGGCAGTCGAAGAGGAAGTAGTGGCCACGGAAGGGGTCGAGCTTGGCACGCAGCCAGTCCAGATTGGCCTCCAGGTACTCCATGCAGTAGAGCAGGCCGCCGTTGGGCCCCAGCCTCATCGCGTCCATCACGTCGCCCAGCCCCACCAGCTCGCCCACGTCCACCGCGCACTCATACGGCAGACCCTCGTTGGCTGGGTCCAGGTTTACCACAGCCACGCGCCGGCCCAGCGCGCGCAGGAACTCACTCATGCCCAGGCAGTACGTGGTTTTCCCCGAGCCTGGCGGGCCGATCACCGCCTGCCCAAAGGCGGTGGGCAGAGCGGCCCCCGCCATGAGCGGCACGCGGCCCTGTGCAGAGCACGTTAAGCTCGGTGGGGAAGCAGGACAGGCCACCGCGCCAGAGACGAGAGCCGAGGACGACGGGATCCCCGAAGTGCGTTTTGCCTGGGGTTGGCGGCGACGCCCGGGTGTCGTCTGGGGAACTGCACGGACCGAGTAACGCAAGACCAAAACACCCGGAACTGACGGGGCCAGCACCGGATTTCCGGAAGACGCCGGAGGCCGAGGAAGTTCCGCCCCCACGGTGACGACACAGCTTTGCGCCGCGGCTCACCAGAGCGAGGGATGGGTTGGGGTATCCTTTCTCGGGGTTTCCCCGGCCTTCCTCCGGGCCCAAATTATAAAGGAAATAAAGAAGCAAACGATTTATTCTCCCTTCAGGTCACAGACCTGCGTCACCTCCCGCGGACTCTCCGCTGCCCGGTCCCCGTCGGTTAGGGGTAGACGCGTTGGAGGGCCTGCCCCAAGACCGTCTCTTCGAGCACCACAAACCCTTTCCTCTTCCAGGTCCCTTTCCCCCCTTCATGGTGGCCTCCCAGGGGATGTTGTGATGATAACCTCAGTCAATCCAAATTCCAAGATACTGGGGGAGGCAACGGGCAAGCCCAAACAGGCTGGTTTGGAGACCAATGAGGAGTGCTCATTAAGCCCCAATATCAAAGGGGAGGATAGGGGTCTTTTTGTAACAATGTCCTTGAGGTAGAGAGCAGGATGACAAGTTCAGAACAAAGCACCCTTAAGAGGATGAGCAGACTGCTACTCCCAGAGCTCTTTAGGGCTGCCTCCATGTAGTCATGAGTGGTGGTAACTGAGAACGCCCCTGAAGCTGTCACTTGGGCTCTAAGGAGCTGCCCACAGCACAGCTGGAAGCCCTCACAAAGGCCATGTCTGTCCGAAACTTCATGCTAGTGGGTGGCTGGCGGCGGAGCAGCGACTCCCCCTGGTCTTGGGATAGGGGCTCATCATAGATGGTGGAGATGAGCCCCAAGTCAGTTCCACGGGGCCTCTTCAATTGCCCAAACGGCTGTAGCTTTTCTCCATGGTACCTGGATTAAAAAGGGCTCTCAGTGAGAGGGCTGCTCTCCCTCAAACCCCAGTAAAGGGATTGAGAAAGGACAGGGAAGTAGTTACTACTTACCTGGTTTGACCCCAAGACAGTGTCCTTTAAACCTGGATCTTTGCTCTCCAACCCCCTTGTCCATCCATTGATAGTGCCAGCAACCAGGGACCTCATACTGCCTTTTTTTTTCTTTTTACCGCTTTTCTTTTAACTAGTACCCAAAGTTTAGAACTATTACAACTCTTGTGACTTATAGTCACTCCCTAACAGCAGTCATCAAGTCCAAACTTCTCAGACTAGAGGGAATGACTCCTCCAGCAGATCAATGATCCTGTCAGGTCTTAGGGCTTGGTCTAAAAACACACAACAGTGCCAGATCTACTTTTTCCTTCTAACTGTGCTTTGAAGTTCATCCCCTAGGAGTCTCCAGCACCATCCCAAAACCAGAGAAAAAGGGGAAACCAGCATCCAGCTGGAAGGCTAGCTTGGGCCCCAGAGAAGTCCCTCAGCTATACTCACCCCAGTCCACGCTTGCATCTGGGATGCTGGCCATCACTATCCAGGGCCTCAGGCACCCCGGAGCACCGGCTCCCCAGGCCCTGGCCCTCAGCCCAGCCCTGCTGCTCCATCACCTTCCGCCCAATGCCCTGTAGAGGGAAAGGAGAAGACTCAGAAGTAGGGTTCCTGGGGGCAGAAGAGAAGGAATGGGGTAGAGGAGGAAAAAAGAGGGGTCAATGGGCTGGGCACAATGCTCACCTTGGTGTGGCGCTCAAAGGTGCCCACTTGGTGTTCAATCACAGAGCCATCCTCTTGGCCATCACGGAGCCTCTGTTCTAGACGCATTCGGACAGAGTCACGGGCATCCTTGTCTCCAGCATCTGAGAAAGCGGAACCCAGTTTGCAGAACGGTCTTCTAGCAGAAGGCAGGGGAAATCAGGTTTCTAGGACTTCCCCACTAGATTTACATATTCATCTTCATGGGGTTTTTATTACTTTATTATTATGTCATCAAACTGGGAGCTTACCAAGAACAGGAACCATGGTTCTCCCATCCTACAGATGAGGAAACTGGTGCAGACAAGTTATAGAGCCAAAAAGCAAAAGAATTAGAATCCAGGTCTTCTCTCACTTGAGCCCCCTAGGTCATTTTTTACTCCAGAATCTAAACTCTTAACCAGAGCCTGAGTTCCTGGCCCTCTCATTCTACCAGGCCTGCCCATCAGAACCAGAGCTCCCTGAGGGCTGTCCTGAACATGTCCTTCCTCCACAAATAAAGAAAAATGGCTCTGCCTACAACCAGCACTTAACACTAGACTTGAGATGTTTTAAGAGAGGGACCCTCTCAGTAGGCTACCCCAAGGAAATTGGACCCATCAGCCTCTGCTAATCAGGTCTGGTAAAGGGTCACAGGAGTTCGACCTCCCAGTACTGCAACCCCTCGCCCAGTACCTCTGTCGTAGTACACACTCATGTCCACATCCCAGTCATCAGCTGTCTGTTCATCAAAGTCTGCAGAAATAAAAGCATCAAGCAGAAGAGTTCTGTTGAGTTAAATCTAGACTTAGACATATGTTCCAAAACTTGGGGCTTTTGACTGTATCTTTCAGTTTCCTCTGGGAGGGTCATTCAGAATTTGTGGGAAGTTATTCTTTCCATTCCACTGATCCCCTGACTCCAAAACAGGGTGACAGGTCTTTCATATACAGTCAGGGTAAGATTCTTCCCTAGCCCTTTATTTGGGCCCACTGCCTGGAATCCACCATATGGAACAGAGAGCCCTGAGCAAATGCAGCAGGGACCACTCCTGCCCTTGCCTGGGTGCCAGGATTACCTCCTTCTTCCTCCTGCCAGAATTGGGCATCAGTGTAGAATACCAGGCCAGAGCCACCCTTCTCCCACTTGAGCTCGATCTCCTCCTCAAACAGTCGTTCATTGGTACGTTCCTGCCTCGTCACATCCTCATGCAATGCTTCATGCCGTTCCCACTCCTCACCCCGGTCATCATCCTAGAAGGTAAAGAGGTGACCTGCCTGTCTAGTTTCCTGATCTCATGCCCACAAAGAGTGTAGCTCAAGGCACAGGAGGCCAAGAGATAGGCCTTCAGCTCCATTCCTCCAAATTTCTGAGAAGCAGCATATATCTGACCCTTGAGGCCTAGCACGATACATCCCTCCCTTCCCTGTTTCTCAAATACTTCGGTTCCTCCCCCAACAAGCCCGACTCTCTTATCTATGTACTTTTGCCCATGTTGCTTTCCTGAAACATCTGCCTGAAATATCTATGCTCCTCTCCCACCACCCTCTGTTCCTCACTTGGCTAAATCCTAAAGTTCTGCAGCCTACATGAAGCCCCCACATTTCAGACCACAGCACCCTCACTGGTCTCTGAACTTCTCAGTGTGGTCAGTACATAATGTTTAGGCCTTTATAAATGATATCACAAAGAAAGAAGGGACAAGAACAAATACCTATTGTCTACAGTGTGTCAGGCCCTTCACATAACCTCACTCCTTTAATCACTACAAGCCTGTGAGATAAGTACCATTATTCCCATTCTATAGACAAGGAAACCTGGATTCAAAGGAGTAGAGTGATTTGACCAATATAGTACACAAAAGCATGGCAGAGCCGGCATTCAAACCCAGGTCCCCACTGATGCTGGTTCTCTCTTCAGAGAGATTTAAGGCTCTTTGAGGGCAGGAAAGGGTCTTAGAATTTCTTTGGGATTCTGTGCTTGACCCCGTGTTTACAACTGCTTGACTGGACTTTCAAAATGATAGGAAGACTCCTGGCTTAAAATTCTAGGGGCCCCTGTCCTAGTTAAACTCGGCCTCAGGAATCACTGCTGCAGAACAGGTGCTGGAGAAAAGTCAGGACAGGACCACACTAAGCATGTGGTCCAGACCGGCTAGTAACTCTGGGCTGGGTGTTTTGAAGACAGAGTTGAATTACTTTTTACCCAGAGTATGCACAAAGAAAAAGATTCCCAACAAATCACACATCATTTTATAGATGAACAAACAAGTCTGGAGAAATAGGTAGAAGATATGTCTATTTTCATTGATAAAGTTAGTGTAGAAGCTAGTTTTCAATCTACAGACTCAAGGTCAGAAAACAGGCGACTTCTCAACCATATCGTGAAAGCACACAGAGGTTAGACAGGCAGCAGAGGGGACTGGGTTCACAACCTACTCTGCCTCTACTTCCTTAGATGATCTTAGCTATTGGTCAGTAGATTTTCATCTATGAAAAGGACCCTCCTTATTCCTTCTGAGGGATTGAAAAGAAAACCCCGTGAGAATCTTCTGATAAAAGAGATAAAAGATCTGGCCCCTCTACTCCAAAGAACATGCAAAAGCAGTTTCACATTCAATGTCGAGAAGTTCTAACTCTTTTGAACCTTCCTGAAGACACCAGGCTTAGAACTCTGTAACACACAAGTGAAGAGTGGTATTATTAATGCCTTGCCCTTTCTAAGCTGCCATTGACAGGATGGCTCACTGCACTCACATCGTCTGACTGTGACTTTTCTTCCTCCTCATTTTCCTGTTCCTCCTCTGGCTCTCCACAGGGGCTGCCTGGTGTGTCTGCCAGGCAGGTTCCCTGGGGTATTTCCTCGCCCTCAGCGGTGTACACAAGCTCTTCCTGCTCCACAGTTTCTGAGTCCTCATACTCGAAGGGCACGTTGCCGTAGCGCCGGGAGGAACCTGTCTTGGGGAACTGGAGCTGCAGCTGGGTGATGATCCGAGGGGGTAGGCGGCAGGCCCGGATCAACTCCAGAAAGACCCGCAGGGGAGTCCCCACATTCCCGTTGGGCATCAGCACTGGTGGGTTCAGCTCTGGCAGTTGCTTCAGGTCCATCAGAGAGAAGGCTTCACTCTCAGCTTTCTGACACTGCAGTTCCTTCCGGGTCTTGAAGGGAAAGGAGCCCAAACCTTGGAAAGCAGGGAGAAGAATGGCTCTTGAAACCTAGAAGGCTCTAGGAACACTTGAGCCAGGAATCAGTCAAGATTTAAATTTTTTAGCCTAATGCTGTTCCTCCCTTTGAACTTCTGAGTCCCTTTTTCCACTCCCTGACCAGAACCACCTAGTAATTTCATGCCATTTCTCATCACCTTGGCTAAGCACACACATTTCTTCCAGATCTCGTTCCTATTGATCTTTTGATTCTCAACTGCCACCATCCCTCAACCCCTGCACACCCATATACCATGTGCTCCAACCACATGTCCTGAAGGTCTTATGGGCTTTCACATCTGTCTGTCACTCTGAACACCATTTTTGCCTACAAACTCCTGTTTATCTTTCAAGATCCAGACGAAAAGCCACATTTCCTGGTCCCTGTAGGAAATTGGTTTCTCCCTTCTCTGTCATCTCAGAGCACTTGGTGATAAGGAGCATGGGCTCTGGAGCAAAATGCTTGGGTTTGTACTGTGACTCTGTCACTTACTAGCTCTATAACCTCAGGCAAGCAACGTAACTTCTGTATCCCTCAATTTGATCACCTGCAAAATGGGTACCAAGAGCTCCTACCTTATATGATTGTTGTGAGGAATCAGTAAGAAAAATGAATGGCTTAGAACAGTGCTGACTTCTAAGTACACAAGAAGTACTCAGTAAATGTTGACAATTAGAATGGCATCTCCGTGACAACTGCCTTTTTACAAATCTGTCTTCCTCTCTGGATTCTGAGCACAAACTGTCTGAGTCTTCTCTGCCTACCAGCTAGAGTCACACTAGGTCTAGTGATAAAAGCTAGATTTGTTGAATGAATGAATGAGATGACTGCACTGTGTTTCCTATTCCCCATCAAAGTGATTTCCCATGAAAAAGGGAGCTGCCCAGAAAAAAGAGAGTGTCTCTTCATTCGTATGTTGCTGAGAGGACTAGGTGTGGAGCAACAGAGTGCAATAACGACAGTAAGAGGATTAGAAACCTGTTTACCTTTTTTCCTTCTATGTCAGTGCAAAAATCAACCCCTCAGAGAAAGGGGTCTCAGAAGGGACCTAAGAAACTGGAAAATGGAAGATCATCCAAATAGGCATCTTTCCATCGCCCCTCACCCCCCACTGAGTTAAACTAACTTGCAAGTTGAGCCTGAAGTCTGTCCAGAAATGACCTAAACTCCTCAAGAGTCGTAACCAAACTCCTAAAGAGTCGTAACCAGAGACCTGACTTACCCTCAGCACTTCTCAGGAAAGGTGCCTAGGTTCAAGGGCCCGCAGCCTACCCGTACCTGATGCTTCACTGGGTAGCCGAAGTCTGCGGATGAAACAACGACCGGGCAACCAAGTCCCCTGAGAATCCAGCCACTGGCGACCCGAGTACATGCGAAAAAACCTCTGCGCTTGAGCTGCTCCTCGTACCGAGATGACGCAGCAGCAAGTACGGGCCTGGGCGGGAGCAGAGTCCAGAGTGGAGGGAGCGCGGGCATCGGCAACTGAAGTTTGGGAGAGCACCCGGCCGACAGGAGTTTGGGCAGAGTTGGGAGCAGCCTTGGGGGAGGCCCGCTCAGGCCGATGCCGGTAGTGGAAACAGAGGAAGCCACAGCTGCGCTGTTCCCGGAACTGGCTAAAGTAGCTCCGTAGCTGGGCCGAGCGCAACCCCGCGGGGATACCGCTCACAATCAGGTAGACGGCCGCCTCCCCCTCCGCCTCACTGGGTGAAGCCATCTTGCATTGTCACATGATTACCTGGAACCAACTATCGCGAGAATCCGCGAGCGGCGCGGAGGCATCTGAGATGCGGAAATGTGTAACCGATAAGCTGTTGGCTGGTTGGTGCAGTGAAGCCAAGTGCTGGGAAGGTCTGGGGCAAGTCGGGTCCTGTCCCAAAGAGAGAAGCCAGCGATGAGGGAAAATCTTACCTGAGAAGTGGTGGTACAGAGCTCTTAGTAAGGTCCTAATGAAAATCAAATTAGAAGCCTTTGGGAGGGGCAATTTTTTAGTCATTGTGAATCTCCCGAACAAACCAATCTCAGTTCTCTCTCAGTTCAGTCTTTTCGGTCGTACATCCACTTATTCTCCCAAGACATGTTGGTGAATCTACAAAGCAGTAAGAAAAATCATCCAATTGAAAAGTGGGCCGAAGACACTATAAACAGAAGAGAAACATCCAAGTGAAAGGTGTCCAGTCTCAATAATTAAGGAAATGCAATGAGACCCATTCCACCAGATGGGCAAAAAATTAAAACAAGTGTTGGTGACGTGTGGGGCAACCGGAGCTCCCCATACACTCTTGGTGGAAGTGTAAACTAGCAAATCGCTTTGGAAAACAAATCTTTTGACGCAGCAATTCCACTTGTAGCTATATACTTTAAAGAAATCTTGCGGACGTTTATCAGGAGATTTATTGACACTGTTGAACTTTACCCAAACCCTGTGATCCTGGAAAACAGAGGTTAAGAAACCCCTCCCAACTTTTTGTATTCGGCAACGCAACTGTGAAGAAATACCCTTCTTCATATGACAGATAAAACTAATGGATGCCCCCTTGTTTACCTATGACAGGGTAGATACAGACTCCAAATTCCAATTTTTTGCCTCATAACTGCATAGATGAACTGCCTGGCCTCAATGATCAATCAGAACAGACTTTGGTTAAGCTTCTCTCCTCCCAGGTCCCTGAACTTGCACCACTCCCCCACCCTGCTGAGGTTGAGCCAGCATACAACCTCTCCTTAACAGCCTCTTCTTCCCCTCCGGAGAACAGGCTGGCTTCAGGGTAAAACATTTTCCGATCCACTGTCCCGTCGTACCACTCCTGGTCATCCCACTTCCTCACGCCCAGTTCTTTCCTTGAATGAAAGAAAAACTTCTGCTTAACCCTTGAGACACATGTAGCTCTTGTGGTCACAGTGTTCTCCCATTGCAATAGCTCCCCTCTCCCTATTGCAACAGCTCCTTTCCTCCCTTAAAATAATCATGTAAATTAAAGTTTCTCCTTACTAAGTCCAGATTTGTTTTTTATTTGACAGTATATATGAATATTCATAGCTGCAGTCTTTGTAAGAGCAAAAAATTGGCATTTAGTACCATTTTTCAGGTATATGATGTTAAGCAACAATAGGTCAGAAAACAATAAAAGAATACAAACTAAAAGTATGTTTTAGGAATACATAAGTATGCTTTAAAACCATAAAGAAAAGTAAATAAATGATTAAGCCAAAATTCACAGTAATCATTTCCTTTGTGTGGGAGGTGACAGAGTTAGAAAAACTTCAGTGATGGTAATAATCTATTTGTAATGTTATTCTTTATACTCTACATATATTTTATAAATATTTTGTTTTATTCAATTTTAATAAAACATGTTAAAAGGGAAAATAACATACTTTCAAAAGCAATAAATCAAGTGGTTACTTTGTGGTAATCATAAATGCACACCTATTTTAGAAATTTAAAATATGGTTCTAGTAGTTCTCTACTTGACAGATGGAATGCTGCCATTCATGAGCCACTTAATAAAGCCAATTAGGCCCTTAAAATTAAAATAAATAAATAAATAAAACAACTCTAATGAGAGTCTGGGTAATTGTGGATAGGGACAACATTGTATCTGGGTTTTAGAATCTGCTGATGGAAGTGTAGATTGGTACAACCACTTTGGAAAACTGGCAAGATCTCCTCAAGTTGAGCACACATTCTATGACTTAGTAATTCCAATTCTTGCTCTATAGCAACAGATCTGCAAACATCTGTGTACCAAACGATGCGTACAATAACGATCATAGAAGTATTATTTGGTGATCCAAATGTTTATCAGCAGTATGATGGATAAATGAATTGCAATGTAATGAGATACTTCACAACAATGAAAATGAATGGGCTTCTACTACACAGAGCAGCAGAATGAATCTCAGACATAACACTGAGTGAAAGAAGACAAATACACACAAGAGAGTACATACTATATGTTTCAATTTATATAAAGTTTAAGACAAGCAATCTTCTTCCTGATATAGGAAATTAGCGAAAGGGATGCCCTTTGGGGATGAGGGGTAAATACTGATGGAGAGGGTTTCTGGGGTGTTGCTAATGCTCTGTTTCTTCAGCTGGGTGGTGGTTACAGGGATGTACCCATTTTGTGATAAGCTGTATGCATATGATTTGTATACTTTTCTGTATTTTATACAGAAAAGACATAGTTAAAACAATATATTTTAAAATCTGAAAATCATAGAATAAGTTCTTTACAGCAAACAACATGGATCGACATAAAGATGGTATGCTCTGGGAAAGCTGTTGATGACCCAAGAAGTTATGCACATATGATGGCAAACAATTGCCATGTGTGGGACTAAACTTCCTGGTCCTTGCATGATGCTCAGTGTAGTAGACTCTCAGTAAATCTTCGTTAATAGAATGAACATTCCTGGCACTAACATGGGGATGTGCTGCCAGGTGTGGCTGGGGACTCTTTCCAGGGAAAGTGGCACTTCCTTGGGGAAGCACGCCGTTCAGACTTTTCATCCAAACCTTAAACCCGAAGGTAACCAAGACTGCATTTTCACTCTCATCCTATCTTATAGTGGGGTAGGGAGGAGAAGGAATCTAGATGCTGTTATTTATTCTCCAGTTGATCATCCCTGACCTTTAAAGACACAAGGTAGCACAATATGTAAGAGTATAGGTCATAAATCCAGACTACCCAAGTTCAAATCCTGACTCTACTACTTACTAACTGTAACCTTGAACAAGTTACTTAACCTCTCTGTGCCTCGATTTCTTCATCTATAAAATGGGAATAATGACAGTAATTCCACATGGAGTTGTGAGAATAAAGTAACATTCTCCACATAATGTGTTTAGAGCACAGTTCTCTCAGTGTTTGCTGGTTATTGTTTAGCAGCTACCCAGAATGACCTGCCAGGAATGGGTGATCTCCTTTGTTAGCTTAATTCCCCCAAGACCTTGGCCTTGCTGCCACCACCACTTACATGGGAATTGCCTTTCCCTGATGCCTTGTTCTGTCACATGGTCCTTACCCACCTCTGCAGGCTCATCTCTTGCTGCCCAGGGCCCAGTTGCCCCAGAGCATTTGCAGTTAGTTAAATGCCCTTGCTCTCTGACACCTCAGGCCTTTGCCTCAACCGTTGCCTCTGTCTGGAATGCCTATCCCTTGATTGCTAGGCAAACTTCTATTTATTCTCTTTCGCTCAAAGCAGTCACCACTTTGCTAAAGCATATTTCCCACCTCCAGGCAGATTTAATCATTCCCTCTTCTGAACCTCTGCAGCCTGTTGTATGTCCCTTTATCACACTTCAGATCACTCTCTTAAAATTACTTACAAGTCTCTCTCTGCCACAAATGGCATGTTCAATGAAGGCAGGGGCTGTGTCTTATTTATTCTGTGCTCTCCTCAGCATCTAGCCAGGGTCTGGTACAAGTAGACATCAAGAGAGAGGTTGCATGATGGTGTGAAAGGACAGATGGATAGTGGGTGTTGGCTTTATGCATCCATCATAGGTTGTACGGTACGTGGCTGCCCCAAGGGTAGGGTGTGTCAGCACAGGGCACAGTACGTCAGTTGCCTGGCTGCTTACTAAGCAGTCAATGATTTGGCTAATGAAGGTAGAGTTAATGATAATAAAATGGTACCTAAGGCTGCTGCAGAGCCACAGCCACTCTTCTGCTTCCTAGTGAGTCATCCCTGGCTGGGCCCGAGGACAGGGATCATAGCTGAGAGGGTAGATGGTCAGTAAGCAGTGGCTGCGTTGGCTCCAGACAGCCTTCTTCTGGCCGTGACTCACCTCAGCCTGAGCTCTGGTGAGATCCCAGCCTCCACAGTCACACAGGCCTGAGGTCAAATCCCAGCACAGTAGGTCAGTCAGACCTTAAGTACCCTGCCTGGGCCTCTTTCCTCCTCTACCCTCTCTGCTTGATGAGATGCAGGTCCCACTCCTAACACGTTGGTAATGGAGACACAGTCCCCCAACTTTAGAAAGCTGGTAGTCTCATGGAGAAAACATTAGTGCCCTTAGGACATTGTAGTACTACCTTTTTCTCCTTAGATTTGCTTGATTTGTCTTTATGCAGAAGGCTTATAACTCAAGAGATACAGGGAGTAACTCAAGAGCTACAGATCAGAAACAGACATGTAGCTCCCCATCAATTTAGAAGGGTAGGAAAGAAATTTGTAAAGCAGCAAGGTAGGACTAATAAGGGCAGCTGTTTGGATGATGGGAACATTAGGCAAGCTGAGGGAAAACGCTGGGAGATCCAGGGGAGAAGAGTGCTTGCTAATAGCTGTGGAGGGGGGGGTGAGAGGCAGGAAGGCTCAGCCTGCGGGTTCAGGGAAGCTAGTGAAGGGTCATAAAAACTAGAATGACCCCAAATTCCTGAACCCCCTGGATTGGGCTCCTATGGGGAAATAAGGCACTTGCTCTTTAAAGAGTTGCCTCATGATTCTGCCAGGTGAGATGGGGTGGTATGTGCCGAAGTGCGGGAAGGGCAGGGACGGAGAGGTGTCTGGGGTCTTGAGGTCTGGTTCTGGGGGCTCTATTAGGGGCTGAAGGGGTAGAGGGTTGTAGGACTTGTTCTGGGCATTCAAGGATACTTCTGTTTGGGAATTTGGTCAGGTCCTGACTCGGTGGAATTGCTGAACAGGTTATGGCCTGTCTGAGAGGAGGAGAGATATTGGAGTCACCTTGGGGAAAGGGGATGATTGGTAGTTTGAGTCCCTAAATGCCTGGCAGAGCATTTGCAGGCTGTGGGGAGACCCTGAAGATGCACAGACATGGTCTGCTTACTTTGGGGGCCACTTTTACTGTGCAAAGGAAGGAGAACATGACCTGGCATGATGGTGTTGTATGCTCCAGCCCTGGGCACAGGGGTCTTATGTGAATACCTGGCTTGGGTGCATGTCTGTCGTGTGAATGTGTCTGGGTCTGTTGCATGTCACTGAGCCAGTGTGCCAGCCTGTGCATGTCTGTGCTGTGTGTGGGCAGTCCATTTTATGGGTCTGTATAGGTGTGTCTGAGTTGTATGTCTTTGTGTGTGTGTGTGTGTGTGTGTGTTTGTGTGTGTATGTGTGTTTGTGTGTGTATGTGTGTGTGTGAGAAAGCTGTAGGTCTGAGTTGTGTATGTCTTTGTTATGGAGGCTGAGCTATGTGTTTTTGATTCATTCTGGGTGTCTGAGCCAGTGAGTGGGTGATTGGGTAAGGGACGGGGTGTCCCTACTGCTGGCACTGGCTGCCCGTGATGGGTACATGGCTAGTTCAGCTGTGGTCCCTATCCTGGGGGCCTTAGGGACTGGTCTGAATGATGACTCCTAGACTGTTTTCCCCGAGTGAATGACCTCTTGGGCAATAATTAACTTAGCCCCTGTGAGGAGAATCCCAAACTGGGGTGGTGAAGTGGGTGGAGACTGGTCAGGGCAGGCCTTACTGCTGGAGAAAGAAGGAGGCCTGAAAGGGGGTCCTATAGGCATATGTGTTGTTATCACTCCCTCCTGCCCACCCTGCAGGTCAGTCACCCTGACCTGGGTGATACTCAAAATATTTAACCAACAGTGAGGCACAGCCATTGACCAATCAGAACAGCCACTGGTCATGCACTGAATGGAGTAGACCTGGGAGCCATTGTGATACTGAGCATTGCCTTTCTAGGTGCTGGATGATGGGAATGGGTTCCCAGAGGAGGGGGCCAGTGGGAGGGAGCCCAGTGGGCCTCAGGGCGGTGACTGTGAACCAATAATCATGGAAGTGTTTCAGACTTTAACAGCAGGTATGGCAGCTAGCTAAACCTCGGCCTTTCTTGGCTTCCAAGCAGGTGCCAGGCCAGCCCTGGGTGCCCTTGCCCCTCCCATTGGGAAAATAACAGACCAGCCTCTTCCACAGGAATACAGCCTTCAGGAATTGGGGAAATGAATGATCCCAAACTGTAGAAATTCAGGTGACCTTGTCTGTTTTAGTTTGGGAATGGGCTTCTTTCATATTCCTTATTGGCTGTGATCTGACTCTCTCGGAGTTGAGAGGGAGCCTGTAGGGAGCAGAAGCTGAGGGAAGGATCAGTAGGGGGTGGGGGTCAAGGAGGACACTCCTTCCTCCCAAAGACAAAGGCAAAGAGGTGAGGGGGTACTGAACTGATCCTATCCTCTGCATTCAGACCTGTATAAAATAAATCTCATCCCAGAAATGAAATTGTCATCCCACTCTGAAAAATTAACATCCCAGTTCCCTGAGGCCTGGCTTATGCACTCCTTATGGTGCCTTCCTCTTGGGCTCCCTCCGATAGGGCAGGGTGGGCCCAGGAGGTGGGACAGTCCCTCCCACATGCACGAACTGCAGTGTCAAGCTCCAAGGATGCTGTACCTTTTATTACAAAAGCCAATAACTTAAAGTCAGTTTTGTACAAAGTCAGTAGTACTCTTGGGCCAATAAGTAGTCTGAGCTTCCATCTCCATTCTGGGAAGGGGCAGGAGTCTCGGCCCAGAGACTCTCTGGACCACCAAGGGCCAGCCAGACATCTGGAGCATGGTGCCCAAGCCAAGGAAGGCCACTGGGAATGTGGCTGAGTGAGGGGCCCTGTAGCCCACCTGGCTGGGCCAGGCCAGCTTGCTCAGGGGGAGCCAGGTGCTGTCTCTACAGGTCTGTCCGCTCTGGGAGCATTGGGTTACCCGTGAGGACAGCCAGGCCAAATCAGTGCTGCCAACCTCTTCCCAGCCTGCACCCGATCTCTGCCTGGGCTGGGGCAGGTCGGCTCAGCAAAAGCATGTCCTCAAGGAGGCCAGCGATGTCAACGTCTCCAACAATAGGGCGAAAGAAGAGGTCCCCAAGCAAGCTGGATGGAATGGATGTGAGGGTGGAGGCCGTGAGGAAAACTCGGGCCAAGCGGCCTTGGCTTGCTGGGTACCAAGGCTCCAGTACCTCACACAGCGCTTGATGAGCCTCCTGCTGCAGGTGCCAGATGTGGAGGGAGGCGTGGAGGCCTGGCATGTCTGTGGACAGAGAGCGTGAAGAGGGCTGGTGAGCACCCCACTGCCAGCCACCCCAGGGCAATACTGACCCAAGACCTGAGGCCACTGGCTTGGCCTTTGAGGCCCTGTTGCTACCTTCAACATTTACTTATTTATCGTTTTGTTCATTCACCCAATGATGGGGAGGCAGTACAGAGTAATGGTTAAGAGCCAAGCTGCCTGTGTTTGAATCACACACTGTCACTTATTAGCTGTCTGTCTTAAGGCAAGCTACTCAACCTCTGTGCCTAATTTCCTCATAGATAAAATGGGGATAGTAATAGTAGCTATCTCCTGGGCTTGTTATAGGTTTAAATGAGCTAGATTATGTAAAACCCTTAGATTTGGGCCTAACATATGGTAAGTGTAATCCGAGAATTATCTACTACTATTATAATCAATTACTATAATTAATGCATTCTGTGAGGGCCTTTTAGTGAGGAATTCTCATCTCAGATGCTCTCCAGATTACCAAGAACACTATCTCCATCTGTTACTCCCCTAGATGAATGTCACAAAGACTCTTCTCTCTCCTTGTCACACCCCTTCATTTTCATTCTTCTCTATGCGACGTTCCTGAGCCCAACAGAGTTTTACCTGTGACTGAGGCACAGCTCTCTTTACCCACCTCTCCTCCCCTTCTCCTGGGGGCCTTCCTTGAGAGTCAGGGCAAGTTCTCAGGCAGAGTGGCAAGGGTCAGTCTCTGGAGTGAATAGACCTGAGTTCCCATCCATGCTGTGTCCCTACCTAGCTGTGTGACCTTAAGCAGGTCACTCAGCCTCTCTGAACCTCTTTTGTGAGATACCTGTTTGGTTATCATGAGGATCCCAGAGATGATGGATGTTGAGCTCTTAGAAGGTGCCTTCCCTGGCTGGGCCCTGCCCCCGTCTAGCTTTGGCCCTCACCCAGGAGTGTCTGGGAGCTCACCAGGGTTGAAGAGGATGGTCCCTTTCAGGTAGGCATATTCCTTGGGGCCCAGCTCCAGGCTCCAGAAGGACTCCAGGCAGCACTGAAGCCACTGCACAGCAGCCAGAGAGGGCTGGGGCCGATCTGGCAGCTGATCTCTGCCTGCACTGCTAGGCTCCTCCAGCAAGATCTTCTTGAGTATGCTGGAAGCTGGGGCCTCAGCCACCTCAAAGGTCACAGTGTCTTGGGCCAACCCAAGCAGGAAGAGGGGGCCCCAGCAGCCCCTCAGCAGCAGCCGCTGATCTTGGGGGAGCAGCTGGCAGAAGGATGGCAGGTTCCTGAGAAAGACCACCGTCTTGGCCAGAACGTTCAAAGCCTCCTGGCAGGTGCGATGCGGGGCACGCAGCTGAACAGGTCGGTGCTGCCTGCACAGGCAGCGGCTACGGGATGGAGGCACAGAGGGCCTGGCCCTGAGGCTGGGGCTCAGAAGTGCATACAGAATAGCTGGGCGGCCTGCAGCACCCCGGCATGGGCAGGTCCCTGGCTGGCTGGAGCTCATGGTTGAGGACCAGTTATGCCTTCCTGCCAGCTCTCCCGCCCTCTGCTCTGTACTCTGGGTGCTATATATCCTCACTGGGGTGAAAAGGGGAAGGGCCCGGCAACCTTGACTCCAGAAGTCATGTTCATTGAAAAAAAAAGGAACATACACTGACCCTGGCAAAACTGGCTGGGAATGGAGGGGGAGGGGGCCTTGGGAGCTCCACGTGGCCCTGATATTGCTTCAGTCAATGAAGTGGCTGGTGCAGGGCACAGGGCCGCCTGCCCGCTGGCCCAGCTGCCCCTTATCGGATGACTCAAGTGGATAAACAGGGTCATTAACCCAGGCTGTACCAGGGCACCAAGGCCTCAGGTGCACAATCAGCAGGTGGCCATGGCAGGTGTCCCTATTGGTGCCTGCAGACTTACATTAAGCTGGGGAGCCAGCCCCAGAGCTGGACAAGCCTTGAACACAAAGCCCAACCTGGAAGTGCCTTATCACTGGCTTGTTTGCCTAACCTTGGGGCCCTGCGCCTGTTGTTGGTAAGGAACAGGCTGCAGCGAAGGGAACCGGGACCCTGGCAAGCTGGGAGGACTTCGCCCATTGTGCAGTCTAGGAGGCCCCCTTCTCTCACTCCAGTTCTGGGGCCCCTGCAGAAATAGGGTCCTTAGAACTCTCTCCCAGCCTGGATTCCTGGAGATCCTGAAAGGACATGTCTGCTGAGAAGCCCTTACAGAATAATAAGGAAATACGGCTGCTGTTTATTGGGCCCCTACTGCGTGCCTGGCACTTTCTACTCCAGTACTCAGAGCTTTCCTATGAGGCAAGATTCTTACTTTTTGACACTCAGAGAGGTGAATTGACTTACCCATGGTCAGACCACTAAGAGACAGAGCCCAGATCTGTCTGACTCCAAAGTCCTTACTTGTTTCTCCGGACCCTCTGGCCCAACTGTGCAGCCAAAGCTGTGTGGCCTGACTTTCCCACAGCTGATGGTTATTTGGGCCCCCACTTTGTGGCTGCCTATTCTGCAGTTGTTGCTCGCTTATGGTCTGGGCAGAAATGTTGCTCTGCTGCCAGCCACACAGCAACTATGGCCTGGGTACCTGTCTCAGATGGTGGGGCGTGGGTGTGAGAGCGGGTAGAAAGGTCCTCGCTGTGTCATGACTGTGGACCTTGGCAAATGCAGCTTGGAAAGCTGCCTGCTAGCACACTATTGGGCAGCCATCACCATCCCTGGCACCTGCTTTTGGCTCTATCATTGTCCAGTTGTGTGACCTTGCGCTGATCCCCAAATTTCTGTGGGCCTCAAGAGTTTCATCTGGGACAATAACACCTACCTGTAGGGCTGCTGTGGGGACAAAGCGAAGTCCTGGATGTCAAATTCCAAGCAGTTTCTGGCATACAGTAGGACGACTTTGCTCCCCCTTCCTTCTGCCTAAGGAACTAAGCCCCAGCAGACAAATAGGCAGGCATGAACTTTCATTTGATGGTGAATAATCTTATTCCTCACCTTGGTAAAGTTCCTTTCATGTCCTTTTATGTCACTGAACCCTTACAGTGTCCCCTTCTGGGAGACTCTGGAGTCAAACTGCCTGGGTTCAAATCCTCTTCATCACTTACCTGAGTGACACTGGACAAGTCACTTTATACTTGTGCCTCAGTTTCTCCATCTTTAAAAGGGTAAAAGAAAGGCCAATAGTGGATATTGGTTTTATAGGGCCTGAAGAACATACAGTTTGGAGGGCCCTTCTTAAGAATAGAAAATAAGGTATGAAAGTGAGTATTTAAAATGAGAAAACAAATCACTACCAATTACATACTAAGATGTCTGACAGAAAACATAAATGGTAGAAACCCAGGAGAATAAAAAATACTTCTACAAATCAATTGCCTGACGGTACATGCCTACACATTTTAGCTGCACACTCTTTGCTTCTACACGTCCTGACATTTATTTTGAAACCTTCACAAACACAGAAAGATGGCAAGAACAATAGGGGGGACTTTTTTGTGTTTTGTTTTTTACCATCAACCATTTAAGAGTAAATTGGCAACCTGATGCCTCATAACTCTCAAACCTGTTAATGTGTAATTCTGATACATACACAAGGACATTCTACATGATCTCGGCATAACCATGAAAGCAGGAATTAACACTAACCATCTACCACTTACTCTAAGACCCCTTTCAATTTCACCAAAAGTACCAGTGAACTCATTACAGTGAAAAGACACAGTCCAGAGTCTCACACTGCATCTCTTTGTCAGGTCTTTTCAGCCTCTGTCAGTCAGGAAAAGTCCCTCTGTTTTTCTTTGCCTTTCATGACCTTGACCCTTTTGAAGAGCTGTAATGATTTCGCAGCAAGTTTGTCATTTTGGGTTTGTCTGAGACTTCCTTGTGATTAGATTCATTATGTATCTTTAGCAGGAATATTGCGGAAGTGATGTTGGGTTCTTCTTGACACACCCTAACAGGTAGCACCCATTTCCATTTGTGGTCCGCTTGGGTCGCTTGATTAAGGTGATGTCTGCCAGGCTTCTCCACTGTAGTTGCTCTTTCCCCCTCTGTAATGCATCAGTATTTTGTGAGGAAGCACTCTGGAACTATGCAGATATCCTTCCTTATACTTTGAATGTATTATGTATGTATGTCTTCAGTTACGAACTCATGGTCTCCTATTTTATTCAGTGGCTTATAACCTGTTACTATCATTATTTATTTTGATGCTCAGATTGTCACAGATTTGGCCAATGGAAGCCTCTTCAAGCTAGAGTCTGTCCTTTTAACACACCTGTCATTCTTTGAACATCCTTGGTTTTCTGGTATAAAAAGATAGCCTCTTTTCAAGCTCCTGGAATCAGCCAGTACTCCAAGAAGCTCTGATTCAATTTTTAGTGGTGAACAGTGTTTAAAAACTATGATCTGGGCCCTAGGACAGTAATTAGAAACCAAGACCTGCTCATTGCTATTGGGTGTCACTGCTCCAGGCCCTCCCAGAGCTAAGGAATATACACGCAACACACAGGCGCACACACACCCCTTTACATTTATATTTATTTCTATATCTATTGATACATACTAAAAAACATGAGTTAGGACTATTCACTGCAATTTTAACTCCCTATAATGGGGTTCATTCTGGCTGTTGTCCTTTCTATATTTGTACCTTCCCTCCCTGACACTGAGAAGTCTGGCTTCCACTATTCTTAATTTATTTACTTATTGGGTCAAGCCCTGTTTCACAACCCATCTTCCATTGCCACGGCCGCCCCTGCCCTGTGAGATGCGCTCCTCACCCCGCTTGGGCTCTTGTACCTTGTGTCAGGTCGCCCCGCCCACTCAGGGACACGGTCTTCGCCTGCCTCCTCTTCCCCCTGCTGGGGCGCCAACTTCTGCTCTGGGCCCTGGTGGCTCCCTCCCTCTCTAGGACACGCTTCTATCTTGCTCTGCTCTACCTAATGGTTTTAGGACTGAAATTTTCAGGAAGAGGAGAAAGTAGAGCTATCAATGAACTTAAAAAATAAATTTCTACAGTGAAAATGGAGAGATGATTCTGTCTTCCTCTTGTGTCGTTGATAAAAAAAAACACGTTTTATTCTTGACAGGATATATAAACATGCCACATCACGCACAGATGTATTTGCTGCCTGGAGCTCTGCTTACAAGTTTGTAGTAGGCATTTTTGATAAATTCTACTCTGTGTAATTCCTATCAAAAAAGACAAATGTGAATGGAGCCTTTATAATTGCATGTGTTCCATATTCCTTATAGAAGGAAGCTTCCTTTTTGAGCTGGTGTCAATATGAAATGACAATTTAATGATGACTGAAAGAACTTCACAAACATTTGCTTCTTGCTCCACACATATCCTCATTTTTCCTTCATCACCCATATACTTCCAGGTGTCTTGGGAATCATTCATGTTACGAAGTAGGATAGAGTGAGAAGAAACAGTGCTCTTAACCAATTGTAGTTAAAAAAATTTTTTTTTCAAATTAAAAAGAATGTATATAGGCCCAAGTGCCCTTGTCCAAGTGCAAGGCCCTGCAGTTTGAGCTTTATTAGCTTCACAGAAAATCTGCCTCTAATACTGCCTTTCCTGGATGTTTGTGGGGCTCACATGAGGTGTTTATGAGGACACAGAGTCTATGGCACACAGCATGTGCTCCATAAAGGGGGCAATCGTTATTGTTGCTGTCACCTTCACTGCCTGCAGGGGAAAGTTTAAGAGGAGGAGACCCAGAGAAAGGAGACACTCTTCTGTGGGGGTCATGGTAAAGCTGGGCTGGAAGCTGGGGTCCCTTGGTTCTAAGTTTTTGCAGTGTGGGGAACTGTTTTCTGGGTCCTGTGTATGACCTGAAGGCCGGTGTCAGTCCTGGAGGCCCTAGAGGGTAAGGAAAGGCCTCAGCTGGGATCTCCACAGCCCAGAGCCTGACTGGGGCCATTCACTCAGACAGTGGGGAGACCTCTGTGAGGAGAAGGTTGATCAGCTGCCCCCCTGCCTGGGCCTTGCCCTCAGTTTGAAGGGAGAAACACAGGCTAACCCTTAGCAGTTTAAAGGGAAAGACATAGTCCTACCCTTGGGAACCCCAAATATTATTGGGGTGACACAAGCCAGCCCTCAGAGACCCTGATAGGAGAGGAGATAAGCCCTGCTCTTGGGAGCCTTCGGTCTGATAGCCAGCCCTGAGGAGTCCCCATCCTGACGAGGGAGAGAGAGCCCTGCTCTCAGCTTTAACAGGGAACCTGGGATGCCTGCACCAGTGGTGGGCAGGGATGCGGAAATGGAGTGGCGTGGCTGAGGGGCTTGAATTGGAAGCTTTCCAGAGGGAAAGTTCATGACAACACTCTCCCTTCTGTGCGGCACTTTATGGTTTGCAAAATACTTTCTCAATTATCTTGGTTAATCCTGATGTGACAATGGGATGAAGGTGTTACTATCCAAGCAGGAACAATCATCATCATCATGCTAAGAATTACAGCAACGGACACTTATTGAGCACCTACTGTGTGTCAGGCACTAGGCTGGGCGTGATTTATAAAGTTAAGTGCCTATAAGATAACGCACGTGAAAATGCTTTGCGATC